TTTACAAATCCAGTATTACACACGCACAAATCTTTTTACACACACACAGATATTTTGAGACTATTTTCACTCCATATTTTCTTCCTGTGGGTAAATTTCTATTTAAGTGTTTAAGCCTTTGCCAGTGGAATATTAACGGAGGTTTTCTGGTACCAACATATGGATGTGACTCGGTCTTGTTCATGTCTGTTGGCTTCACTACATTGCAAGAAAATCTACTGTCATCACTTTCTCTTAGTTTCCCTCTGCAATGTAATGCCTGTTTAATTTTCTTTCTAACCATGAAAGCACTTTGAATTACCTTATTGCTGAAAAAGTGCTTTACAAATAAAATTACCTTGCTCTGCCTAGTGTTGGGGATCATAACAATTGACTAACATCTTAATAATGTCACTTTGTTGAGTGTGCTGTGGGCAATGCACAACCCAGGTAAAGAGGCCTTAGTCCTCAACACGGCCATCGCAGGTACGCGTCCCGGCCTGGTGACATTTGCCACATGTCTTCCCTCCCTCTCTCACTACCTACTTTCCTGTCTGACCACTTTCAAATAAAGGCCACTAGAGCCAATTAAACCTTAAAAAAGTCACTTTGTTTGAATGATCTATTCTGTAATTACTTTATATAATTGTCCATCCCTCCTGCCCGCTCGCTTAATCCAGACTTGGGTCCTGGAGCTCCCTCTGTCCAGCTACTTTGGTCACATCAGCTGAGAAGGATAGTCCCTCCAGGAGTGCGGGGGGATCCATGTGGCATCCCAACCAGATGCCTGGGCCACCGTAACTCCTTGAAGATCTGCTCCCCTTGGGGGAAGGATCTTGTCCCCCGGTACTCTCTTCCCTTTTCTGGCTCAAGATCATGGTCTCTGCTTTGGAGGTGCTGACTTTAATCCCTACCTCTTCAGACTCAGCTTAAAACCACTTCAGTGAAAGCTGGAGATCACGGTCTGATGAAGTCAACAAAAGCACATCATCTGCAGAAAGCAAAGACCTGATCCTGATACCACCAAAATAGATCCCTCAACACCTTGGTTGCATCTCAAAATTCTGTCCATAAAAGATGCAAATTGAATCAGTGACAGGGAAACCTTGGCCTAGTCAAACTCTCACTGAAAGCAATTCCGACTTACTGCTGGCAATGCAGACCAAGCTTTGACACCAGTCATGCAGGAATCTAACAGCCCATATCAAGGGTCCATATGTCTGGAGTACTTTATCAACTCCAGTGAACTTCACAGCAGTTTACACCACATTAGGTCATTCAACCATTCATGCATACCCTCTGATGCTAGTAAGCTACATTGTAGCCACTGCTGCTCAGGTGCAGTCTGACAGAAGCAAGGCTGCCTTATAATCAGGGCCACTGGCCCTCAGACCACCACCAGAAGCTGACACAGGTGAAGGGTCTTGCCAAGGACACAATGACTGAAACATTCAGCTGAAGGCTTGAACTAGCAAGCCACTGGTTACAGGACGAACTCCTACCTCTTGAACCCTGGTTTACAGAACACATGTAAACTGGTGGGGCAAACTGCCATCACCCTCCAGGACCCTGCAGAGGGCGTAGAGCTGGGTCAGTGTGCCATGGCAAGGATGAAAACCACAGTGTTCCTCCTGAGTCTGAGGCTTAACCGTGCAGTTGGCTTCAGAACTCTTGAATAGACCTTAGAGGCTCAGTATATTGATCCCCCTTTAGTCAGAACACAAGTCATCCTTTTTAAATAGGGGTACCACCATTCTGGTTCCCTTGTGTTGGTAAGCCAATACAAGGGAACTGCCCATGCATTGTTGCAGAGGTGTCTCAACCAATTCAGCACCACAGCATCCAGCGCCTTAAGGCACTCTGGGTGAATCTTATCCATCCCTGGGCCTTGCTACCAAGGAGCTATTTTTAACCACCTTGATGATCTTAGCACCATAGACTGGAGAGCCTGGCCCTACGTCCCCAGACGCTGCTGCTTCTCTAGACGGCATGTTGTTGGGATTGTGGAGATCTTCAAAGTATTCTGCCCACCGACCCACAATGTCCCAAGTTGAGGTCAGCTGTGCTCCACCCTCACAATAAACAGAGTTGGTGGTGCACCACTTGCCCTCCTGAGATGCTGCATGCCACAGCAGAGTTGGGTGTCCTCCAACAGATTCAAGGGTTGCAGCTGCAACAGAGGCCGACCACCATGCAGCCAAAGCTCTGATCAGTTGCCACAACAGTGGAGGCATGGAACATGGCCCACTCTGACTTTCCCAGACTGTGTTCAAAGTTTTGCCCAAGTTGGGAGTTGAAACTCCGTCTGACAGGAGGCGCCACTAGACGTTCCTACCACACCCTCAGAATATGTTTGTTGCATTTGTAGGTGACTGTGTCATGGTCCTATTGGATCCAGCTGCCCCTTGTTTCCCCCGTATTTAAGTCTGCCTGTGTTTTTTGTTTGGGACTGGATTCTCTGTCTCAGTTGCTGCATGTCGGCTGCGTTCCTGGGTTTCTTTGGGTTTTTGTCCTCATTAAAACATTTTTTCTCTTCACCCTGGTTTTTACCGCTCTTATTCTCAGAATACATCTGAAAGAATGTGCATTTTATTATTATAAAGAAATAGTTTGCAGTTTATGAAAATATTCTAAATAACTTTTTCCAGTTTTTTTTCATTTATCTTATCCCACTTCTTATTTTTAGATTTCTTCCAAATTTGACCAACCTGTTTCTTTGCCATGACACAAACCGCCATGTTTTCACATTCCTGAAGTCCATCCCGCAAACTCAAGATGTTCTGATCAATGTCCAACCTGTTAAAGTTAAAATTCACATTTTGGTTAACAAGATTGGAAAATAAAAGTTCAGTAAACATGATCTGTCAAATCAGATTATTCATGTCTCTAAAGATCTGATTATTCACCCCAGAAGAACAAGATGAGAATATTTATTATCATCTAACTTAGTGTGAATAATAAAGTCTGTATTCATCTGCAGATATGCTGGAGGGGATTTCGGGTTTGGCTACAGGGGCAGTATGATTATGTGTTTTCCAGGAACGTAGTTCCACTTTATAGCATAACCTAGTAATTTACTTCAGTTGTTATAAAAATGCCAAATTTATCAAATGTGACATAGAATACATCTTAAATCTTAAATTTCTCATTTGCCTGAATACATTCTTTATATTTCTGATTTCCGGTGCTTGTTTTTACTCCATAAAAACAAATTATGTTATTGAACCACATTGCACACAATTGGTTGAAATATTCTAATCCTAATTTAACTGTGGGATTAAACCAGCTGTGGGGAAAGTTAAACCACCTCAGAGAGCTTGGAAATCTAAGTATGGGACGACAATAGGTTCACCAAACATGAGTTACTCCATTTTCTGGCGTTGTGTTCAGGCCAACCATCGGTGGGTTTTGGGGAATAGAAAGAAAGATCTTGTCTAATTGTGGGGGAGATCATGCCAACCTCATCTTTTAAGGTGGTGGAGCCCTTTGATGAAACCTGAATCTGTCAAATTATCTTTTGTGTGATGGATGCCTAAAACTGTAAAAAAAAAAAAAAGTAAAGTCCTTTACCTTGAAACTGATCTTCGGACTCTTGTTGAGGCGCTGAAATGAAAGATGTTCGTCATTACTAACTGAAATAACTCAAACCACACTAAAAATAATGAAACTTTTAGAGTACAGATGGAAAGCCATTTAGTTAGTCTGAGCAGAATATTTATTTTCTTTTATGTTCAACACTTATGACTAGAGAAACAAGAGAAATGCGCTAACAGATCAGCCAGGCAGCTTTGCAGTCGGGCCGAACCAAAACTCAACTTTGACTGTNCCTTAGTGTATACTTGATCATTTGTAATTAATCAATTAATAATTGGACAGGAGAAGAGGTTCAATAGGGAATTTGAACAGAATTTGAAGCTGAATCTGCCACGAGTTCTGGGTTGAAAACATTTACAAAGAGTTTTTCTTCCATGTTATTTGTAAATGTTTATAATTTTTGTTCAGTTTCGGTTTAATAACTGCTTTGAATAAATAGTTCTTTCAGAATTTTTTTTGAGTCTGTGTACTCCATTTAACAATTAAACAATGACTAAATTAGTTGACGAATAATTCAATAATCGATTAACCGGGATTGATTCGATTAGTTCAATTAATCATACAGACTGAGGTCAGACCACTGTGATGCTGGTTCCATTGATAATCTTATAACCGGTTCTGGACAACCTGATCTCATCTCTTTCTGTGATTTCTGTTTCCTCTGGTTGAGTGATGAAGATGAAGATGATGAAAGCAGCAAATGGAGACTCACCGATGACGCAGAACGGTTTTCTGGCGAACTTCAGCCGTCCTCTCCATCCTCGGTAGCGGCAGCAGCATCCTGCAGCCCAGATCCTCACCATGTACTCCACCCCAAACACCACAATGGTCACCACTTCCTGCACGTTTAATATCGCTCATTCAGCTGAGCAGCATGGCGGAGCAACACCAACAGCTGTTAGCAGATAACTGCAGCCTCCAGTCAGTCTGCAGAAGCCTGGACATTCTTCTAATGTGCACTGCGCCTCTAAATGTTCTGGATAGGGATGCAAACAACTGACCGACTTACGATTAATTGTTCATTAATGGTTTATTGGATTAAAGCTAGTTCAAATCAATTAACTAACAAGGTCCACCTAGAGCAGAGCTTGTTTTAGTGTTGTAGTTTGGCCTCCATCCAGCAGAGGGCGGCGCTGGTTTCCTTAAGCTGAACCAGAGACAGAAACAAACATGGCGGCAGGGCCACGCCAGAACACAAAAGAGAAGTGATCTAGACAGAGGATTAAAAAAATGCATTTTATACGATTCTGTTTAGAAATATAAACACTAGACAAGTTTCTTAAATTTCACCTTAATATCGCTCATTCAGCTGAGCAGCATGGCGAAGCAATGGCAACTTCTCAACCAAAAATTACTGATTTACCATGAAGTCGAGGATGACGATTTCATGAAGGAATGACGCAGAAAAATCAAAACATGATGGGAAAAAACATGGCACCAATGACTGCGGTGAGTTAATGCACTTTATGAAGAAGTTTTAACACCACAGACAGTATTCTGTATGAACATCTCTGTTCATGGGAGAATTAGAGTTTCACATATTTTATTCTTTTCATCTTTTATCTTTCTGTTCAGAAACCTAACAGGTTCCTATTTTGTGTTTTGTAAATATGTAAAACACAATTTTACAATATTTAATACAACTGACATTAAATAGTGTTTTTTTATTCAGTAAATAAAAAAAGGGTGCTTATCAATTAATTGTTATCCGATTGATGAGCTTAACCAACTTTAACTCATTAATCGATAACTTACATTTCTAGATCTGGAATCTCTGTAGAACCTGAGCCAATATTTTCAGCACGCCTGGTCCTGGACTGGGCCCAGACATGGGCGTAAATCCCTGGGCCCAGGGGGGTTCGGACCCCCCCAATCCGGGAAAAGTCTAGAATTGTTCCCCCCAAAGAAATCATGAAGGAAACCCTTGTATTTAAACAATATTAATATTAGAAGGCAAAAGAAACAATATTTGAAATAAATCTGCCTTTCGTCTAAGAAACAGTTAAGGATGAATTTTTAGGTCCCCCCCCCCCCATTGTTAGAAGAATGGTTCAGTCCAAAGTGCAGGAGGAGCCACAGCAGCTGAATGGAACCAGAGGAGCTAGCTGTTAGCTGTGGCTCTGCAGCACAAACATTAACCCTCCAGTAAGTAAATACTTAAAGCAAAAGACATGAAACAGATTTTACTTACTTTCACTGCTTAATAAGAAGAAACACATGAACAAAAATCAGACTGCAGTTCATTATTTCATTATTTTGGCTGAATCATGATAAACTGCCTGTTATGCCTTAAGTCAAAACTAGCAAAACTGGCTACATTACTTTGATAGACTAGCAAATATCTAATTACATTTAGCTCTTAAACTCTTACGTTAATAAGAAGAGTCTGAAACTAGAGGGGCTGAGCCGACAGCAGAGGGGCGATATTATACTGCAGAGCAGCTGACAGTAAAAAAATAATTAGGCCCTTATTTCTTATTGTCTTCAACATAAAGCCTTTAAAACCACACAATAAACTCTGAATATTTTTCCATAAAAACCCTGGTGCTTTGAGTTGAAGTTATGATACTTCCCAGGTATTCACCTACTTAAGTTATAATTTAAATAACACATAACTTGTATTGTGAGCCTCTACAATAATTTAATATTTATGAGGAATTTTCGTAAGTAGAGTGACTCATTAAAACTTGTTTTTATTTAGAGTCTTAATTTTTGTAAAGGTGTAGCTGAGATTGGATCAGTGACTGAAACAAACTCAGATCTAAACATTTGAATTTTAGTTTTACTTCTATGGGTCTCAACAGTTTGTTGACTGAGAAAAACACACGTTTGTTGTCCATTATCACTTACTAGTCATTTTTGCCTTGAACACATTAAAAACGTTTTAAACCACGTTACATTTCACTGTAACTTTTCTGACCCACGAAATTACACTTAAGAAATCTTATCGTCCTCCCAATAACGAGATGGCATTTCCTCCCTTGGGCCCAGAACCAGGCGTGTTGTTCTGGTGTTTACCAGGATGTAGAGGGCGTCCTCTGAACTCTTCTCATACTCTTTGATGGTGGAGAACACGGACAGAACCAGGCAGGAGAACACCAGCAGGAACCTGGACACAGAACGCCAACAAACCCATCACAGCTGAGATCAGCTGGTCAGAACTTTGAGATCCAACTGCAGCTGGGATCTCAGAGCAGCCGTAGAAACTCTTCAATAGTCAAAGCGCATTAAAACTAAATGATAAATTCATGAAGCAGCAGCACTAGCTGACAGCTGTGTGTGTATGTGTGCGTGTGTAATTACACATAGGCGTGGTAGATGAAGGCCCATCCGCGAGGTCTCTCCAAAACGTTGTAGAGGAAGTTCTGCAGCCGCCTGTAGAGGGCGTTTCTTTTCGGAGGTCTCTTTCCTCCAGAGACGCTGCTGCGCTGACGCCGAGGACCTTCGTCCCCACCTGGAGACCACAAACAGCAGCCATGTTCCCCTCATTATGTTCAAAAAGGTATAACCAACAGAAACTGACTGACCACCAAGAAGTCCAGAAGCTAAAGCTTTCAGCT